ATCCCCAACATGCTGGATTTTATATACAGTTTGACTTCACTCACTTGAGACAATCATGATCCTTGATATTAATTCTGAGCCTTCACCACCCCTCACCTGCATATTCAATAGACTCATACATTACTTCTTTATGTCATGTGTGACCCATATCAAATCCATTCTCTACCATGCTATTAGGGTGACCCAATAAATGAAAATGGGATCATATTCTTAAAACTGTTAACTATGCCCACAGAATAAAGTTGCTGTCACTAATCTGGCCCAATTTTTAGGTTTCTGCCCACTGTCTATTCATATCTCTTCTTGGAGACTGTTTCTAACCATCCCATCTCCGTTATTCCAAAACCATCTATTTGCATCATTATTGCCTGTTTATCTTCCCTACCCGATTTTGAATTTCTTGAAGAACTGAAATGGTGTTTTATTTGGATACCATTAAACTAACAAAAGCCAAGAAGAGTACTGGCACATAGTAGTTGCTTGATACATTTTGTAAAATTTGATGAATGAGCAAGTGAATTAATGCAAGAAACGTGATTTTGGTACATGCTAAAAAAAACACAGACTCTGCAATACGTCAAACAGGTAAATAACTCCTTAATGGAGAGCAATGAAATGTAAAGGCAAATGTCACTACAAACATGTTTGCCTATTAATGATTACACAGGTAACAGGGTGAGTACTTATCTAAGGTAATGTCTTTCTGTCAGCTATTATTGAAATTGGAAAAATTGAAAATTTCAGAGAAAATCTTCAGATTTTAAAACAATACTAATTATCTCACAGTAGTTCAGGAATCATGTCAGAAACAGAAAGAGAGGGAGGAAGGAGAGAGGGAAGAAGGGAGGAAGAGAAGAATAGATGATGGAGAGAATTGTAATGATAAATGGAAGCCAAAAGTTCAAGAGGAAAGACTCCTACAGAAGAAAACATGGTATAAGGAGCAAACTGCTAAGGCTGTTACTTCAAGAGAAGAGTAAACTTTTCATGTTTGAAATATATTATTCTGCACAAATGCTGTGGTTATGTCTTTAGCACAGAAATAACATTTCTTTCCTGTAAACTAGATGGGTTCCTTTTACATGTTCAGATAGACTGACTTGAATTGTTGATTGAATGGTAAGATGTTACTACAGAGGCCAAGGTGGTTAAGGCAGCAAGATAAAATGTTGACAACAAATTATGATTTTATAAAGATACATAATCTGCTACTAGACTATGAACACCTTAACCACAGAGTTCATTTCAAATTCTTCAAAGCTGTAAGCACTTGTGAGATTAGCTAGTACTTTGCTGTTGTCACCTGCTTTCAAGTTGGCTCCGACTCAATAAAAATGAAGGTAAGGTGGACAGGCAATGGAGTTTGTGGGTACTTTTAGGGATAAGTCAGGAACAAAAAAGTCAACTAAACATGGCCAAATGCTCTGGAATTTCATGGGCTAGCAGAGGCTAGCCATAGTCAGAGGTAAGGGACAGAATTTTCCCCAAAGCAATGAGTTGTGATAGTGTTGTAAGTCAAAGCTCCATCCACCCGAAGTTTGATTCTCTAGAAATTGAGAAATTGTACCTTTAAGAAGATGGGGTTTTCTGCTGACCGCCTCCTAGAACTAAAATCTGTTTCATAGTAGCTGATATTTGGTAAAACAACAACACACAACCAAACAAAAAAACCACTTTGTTTTAGATTTTACATTTTTGTGTGTGAGATTTGTATTTCTCCCAATTGCTTACCCAAGACATCCAAAACAAATTAAACTAATTTTATTTTTATTGTTATAATCACTTAAATGATCCCCAATAAGAAAATAACCTCTAAATGTGCTTTTAGCCTAATTAAAAAGATCTAAAAAGATAAATTATAAATGTATTTCAGAAAGCAATGCTTATCGAAAACATTTTGATAAATGAACAGAATTGATCTTAAAAAAAATCTTAATATACAGTTACCCACCAGAAGATACTATAATAATAATTTATGTTCAACTCAGAAATATAAGAAAATACTCATAGAATCTATTTTTTCCCAATGTGCTTAAGGTATGTCTTCTTCAATAAATGTTCAGCTGATTGTACATGGCATATTATCTTTTCTCAATTTAATGAAAGTATTTTATATAGTAAAACAGCATAAATAATGTTTATAAGTTTTATATAATGTAGTTCATCCTAATAAAAGTAACATATTGTCAACAATGCAGGTGTTTTTAGAAGCCACAATTTGTTTGGTGTAGAGGTTAGTCAATTTTGACAATAATTCATTTAGAAAATATGGCTGGATTGATCTGTTAAGAATTTATTAATAATTAACCTGGTTGATTCCATGATATACAAGTTGAAAATCCTAAGGCTATAATGATAGCTTTAATTATTTCTCCTATTATTAATTTAACTTCAAAAAATGGATAGAAATATAAAGCATAAAACTTATCAACATGCTATGTGTTATTAAAGTGAATGTCTGGGCTAGTGGTATTTCTGAATTCTTTGTTATTTATAGCTCTAGCTATCCCAAACTAAAACATTTAAGACAATCTAAATGGTACTCTAATTCATCTAAACAGACCAGCCTTAGAGGTATAAGTTGTGAAAAGTGTGTAGTTAGATTCAGAATGTGTGAAAATGGGGAACACCTTTTGTGGAGCTTTTTTCCACGGAAACGCTATAATAGACGGCATTATCAAAATGGAGAGAGAGAACAAAAAGAGCATAAACATGTTCATCCTTTTAACCCCGTGATGTCATGCTTGAAATAAAACTGAATAGACAAGAAGTTGAATATATGAGGCTATCCAGAGCAGCATTCTGTAATGAACAAATAATGGGAAACTATCTCAGCGGCCAGCAAGAGGGAAAGAAGTGATACATGATGTAACATTTGAGGTAGAAGTTATGATACAACAACCTTTAAAACTAAGTCTGTGTAGCAACATGGATAAGCTCATGATATAATGCTAATGGTTTCCACAATGGAATGACAATTATGTTAAATACACACGCATGTGAACAAGGATCAAATGGTCTTATGCAAACATGAAAACAATAAGTGTTGGTAACATTTATTATTAACTTTTACTCTTATTGATGCATCACCTTTGTTTGTTAAAATGCAGCAGGAGTTACTAATGAATCACACAATTTATTTTCTAGATTCTAGGAGACAGTGTTAGGAACTCCAGAAACACTAGAAAGAAGTCTTTGGTGGGTTTCATCCAAGTTGGAAGGAGTCCCATTGTCACAGTGGTTTAGTGACCTTACAACCCAAAAGGTGAGCAGTTTGAACCTATGGGAGAAAGATGTGGCAGTCTGCTTGGAAACCCTATAAGGCAGTTCTACCCTGTCCCATGGGGTATAGACTCAACAGCTATGGGTTTTGAGTATCCAAGTTGTGTCCTGATGAAATATTATCACTTTGATGATTCACTGTATCTTTAAAGGTTTCTTTCTAAAGAGGTCTAAACCACAGGAAATGAGTTATGAAAGTAGAAACCCTCATCAGAGTTATTGATGAATTTCTTAGGTGTACAATTTGGCTACTGTGGTGCTTCTTACTCAGTATTTCTCCCAATTTCCTCCAACATACTAAGAACATTGAATATCTGCTGTAAGTTTCCACACCACAGTTTTTAATCAGAATCAGCAAACTGATTACATCAATCAAAAAAGGAAAGTATTAAAGACCCAAAGGCAGAGGTTTCCAAAAAGGAATTAAGGTAAAATTAAAGTAAATGATGTAGGAAGATAATAAACTGGAAAAAACCCACACATTTCTGTAGCAAGGGTGGCAAACTAAAAGGCTACAGTAGTGGCCTTAAACACAGCAGGCTGGTTATAAGGTAAGAGGGAGTGATGGGGAGTGTGGTTAAAACTAGAAAGCTTGCTCAATCTAAAATTAGCAGTTACTACACATGGTGCCAATGATTTGCTGACATGCAAAACTGCAGAACCAGGGCTGACAGATATTAAAATCTTCCCAAAGTGGCCAGAAATATAGATGCTCATGTGAAATCTTGAGTTTTAACTGATGTCAACTAATTTGAATTAGTTTTACTTTCTCATTCTCTCTGATACCCAAATAGCATCTTCCCTCAGGCTAATTTTGTTTTATACATTGTCTGTCTGCCACTTCTGAAATGCAAACATTTCTCAAAATGATGATCTTTTATTTATTTTCAATTTAGGCTTATTCATAGGAAAAATTAAAAGAGAAGAGAAAGCTAAAGTAAATTGTGAGCGTATTTTTGAGCACAAATCAATATGGGTTTGCAAACTACAGTAATATTATACTAAGGCCTAAATGTTTCTGAGGAACAAACATTTAGAGGATTTAACTTTCATTTTCTATGTGCTGATTAAAGAGGCATTCTGAGTCACTACAAAAGGAAATTAGCCCCAAAGGCTTTTTACAGAGATGGATCCCTTTACTAAAATTACATTAAAAATGGTATGAACAAAATGACAAAATCTAACCAAAATGTATTTGCCATAAGCTACCAAATTGCCAGTAGAATCCAGATGTGTGTCCTCCATTGTGCCTGCTGCTAATTTCCCTTTACTTATCCCATTCCTTCCAACTCTCATTTTCCATCCTTGGCTGTTCAAAAGAAGTCCCTAGAGATGCCTGAGGAATGACAGTCTGGCTACAAATAAAGGCGGAAACAGAAAAGTGAGCTTTAAAGGAGTTTTGACTTTAACTTTGTTGTTGTTGTTGTTAAGTGCCGTTGAGTCGGTTCCGACCCATAGCGACCCTGTACAGGGTTTCCGAGGGTGTAAATCCTTACAGGAGTAGAAAGCCTCATCTTTCTCCCACGGAGCGGCTGGTAGTTTCGAACCGCTGACCTTAAGGTTTGCAGCCCGATTCGTAACCACTACGCTACCAGAGCTCCTTAAGTCATCAGAGTTAGCCTCTGTGGATAGGTAGGCATGAGTGGCTGGAAGGAACCGGAGAGTTGTCTATTCAACTAATCATTTGCATCACATGCACCCAAGGAAAAAATGTTTACCTGGTGGTGCCACGGTTAACCTTTTTTCCTTGCTGAACCGCTGCCCTTGGATGAATTCACTCATGGAAGGGGGGCCCTTCAGAAGAAATGATTCTGTGGAGGTGGGGTCAGGGGGAACTCTTAATAAACTCTGTAGATAGGAAGCCCCTGAGGTCCTGGGACGGCTCTGATCACAAAGGGAAGGTGAAAATTGTCTTGCAGGAGATCCAAGAAAAATACATATAGGAAACAAAAAAGTTTTACTTTAATTACCTTTCAATGCCTCACCCATGACAACATTATTTATATTGCCATATTGCCATTTACTTTTTTTAAACATGTAAATCAAGTTGTTTTTTTTTGTTTGTTTGTTTGTTTTTTCAAGTTTCCATACCAGGATACAACCCTATTTGGAAACTGTCTTGGATACTGGAAAAAAGACTGTTTACAGTTAGTAGTCACTTTGAACTATAAGTAAAACATACTTATATTATTTGATTCTTTACTGAAAGTCCCCCAAATAAAAGTTTTACCAGTAACTGAAAATATAAATAAGTTAACATCCAAGACTCTAGCAAAAGATCACAAAATCAAGCTACTAAAAAACCTTTCAATATTTCATTGAGTAATATTCACATACCAAATGAAAAAGTATAAAAACTGGCTTATATATAAACAACTTTAAGTATTCTACTCCATTGTACCCAAATATAGACATTCCCTTTCTGTGAGCCATCAGTTTTGATAATATGGGCAATGGTGCCCTAAAGAGAACATTTTCGGATCCTTGCCTCATTATCAAGAAGCTGGTAAAATCGGCACCATTATCAGAGGTACACTGAGCTTTATAGTTAAAAGTCATAACCCTTGTAAAACAGCTTCATTCTTAATATCCACCTTTCATATACCAGTTTTTAGGTTAGAGGTAAGGGTGAGGCATTTTTATGCAGAGAATGAGCAGCAAACATGTTGACAGACATGTGAAAATTATATCATGGTTAATCAAGAGGTGGGATGGGGTGATATATAAACACATTTCTCAAAAGGTTTTGATCTGGAAAGACCAACACGAGGAAGACCCATACACCCAACTCCCGTTTTTTCCTTTTCCTTCCCCTTAGCCATCCTTCACAAGAACATATTATTCTTTGCAGTTAACTAAAATCTGGTCACTGCACCATACTATGAAGATCGCTGCATGCATACCTTTTCCTCTGAGTGCCACTGCAGACCCGAATGTTGGGGATCTGTGAGCCCTGCCTATGCAGGAGGTAAGTGTCTATGGTGGGCACGGTGGTTGATGCCTCCCCACTTACTTTAGGGCTGCCGATCTTGCTCTTCCCAAGTTTGCCTTTGCTGCGTCGGGACTGCTCATGGTCAAACTCTAAGTCCTCTAGCCGCTGGGTCAGGGCGAGTTTTTGCTGGATAGCCATTTGTAACAAAGTGTTTAGAGTCTTCTTTTCGTCCTCTGCGGCTGCCAATTGTCTCTGCATCTCATCCAACTGTGTGACATATTCATCACATCTGGAACCAAAAAGAGAAAATGGTCAGGAGAAAATCTGGGTGGAGTTGAATTTGGAACTTTACAGGAAAAATTTTTACTGTTACTAGTATTTCCATATTAGACCACTGGTTTTCCCAGAAGCAGATTGGAGACAAATTATATAGTGGAAAACTGGAAACAGAGTAGGTTCAATTAATGGTGGTTCATACAATGGAGCAAAGTAGGGATATTTTATTTGGTGATATCTTAAACCCAAGGGCAGAGCTATAGTGGGGGCTGTTCTGTGGTGACCGAAGAATGAACAGCAAAGTACAATTTCCACAGGTGTGTTGTAGAAAGACTCTTTCTACTGTATGTTGTTAAGTGCCGTACTATCAGTTCCGACTCATAACAACCCTGGACAGGGTTTCCAAGGAGCAGCTGGTGAGTTTGAACCACTAACCTTGTGGTTCAAATAGAGTGTTTATCCTACCATGCCATACCAGGACTCTTTCTACTGAACAACATGATCTTTTTTAGATGAATGTGACAAGTTTCTTATAGGTTATGTCTGTAGGAAAGAGATCCCTGGGTGGCATGAATAGTTTGTACTCAGCTGTTTATATAAAAGTTGGAACCCACCCAGAGGTGTCAGGGAATAAAGGTCGGGCAGTCTATTTCTGTAAAGAAATTTCTATAGAGTAATTCTGCTCTGTAACACACAGAGTCAGAATCAACTCAGTCCTGGTACAGCACTGTAGGAATAAACACTAGACTGCAGGTTGATTTGAACCACAAGACGGCAGTTCGAACCCACCACCAGTCTCTCCTAGGAAACCCTACAGAGGGTCACTATGAGTGAATAACAACATCAAAAGAAGAATAAATGTTTACAAATAAAATATTCTCTCCTTACCTATAGTTATAGGTTCTACTTCAATATGGTACAGAGTATAGCTGCCAATGTTTCCAACATGGCAGATTAGCCTGATTTAGAAACCTGACCATCTTCAATGATTTCTCATCCAGATGATAAGACAATGAGTTGTCCAAGAGAACCAAGCTTTGCATGAGGTTTGGATACAGAAGACTGTCAAGAACATCTTTGTTCTTGCTTGATACATCTGCTGCAGCAGGAGGAACAGATAATTTTTCTCACCAAACATAAAACCCGATCACATACCCTTGTGGAAGGAAGAAGTAGGGTGGGAGAAAAGCTCAGTCTTAAGTTATTCTGAATTTATCTACCCATTAAGATATTACGGAGTCTTGGTGTGATGCTGTAGGATAAGCACTGGGTTGCAAGATCAGTTTGAACCGCAAAGTCAGTGGTTCAAACCCACTAGCTTCTCCTAGGAAACCCTATACAGGGTCCTTATGAGTTGGAACTGACTTGACACTTAACAAGAAAACAACAAAAACAAGATATTAATGACAAGTACTCTTTATATACCAGCAGATGGCTCATGACTTCATGGAATTATCAAACATGTACTGTGCAAATGCTGATATTAGCACAAGATTTGAAGCATTTTAAAGGAAAACAAAAACCACTGTAAAGAAAAAGCACATGGACTCTAGCAAAACAATTTGAGATCCAGATGGGTTTCTATTTTTTGTTTTGTTTTGTTTTTAACCTTGACTCTACATGTAGCATCAACTGATTTCTTTCATCAAAAAGGGGGACACTGTGCCTCATTCCCATTCTTTATCCTGCCCCATAATGGCCAGAGGTATACCATTCTATTCCCTAAGCTCTACTGTGCTCTGAGCTCTAGAAACCAAGTCCCTTAAGTTCCTCCACATTCCTGTAGTCATTTTAGACACGTAGTCTCTTGACTGTCATCGCCAAAAGATTCAATCTCAAAGCATAAGCTTGAGTCTTTTCTTCCCTAATAAACAAGGAAAGTGGGACAAATTTCAGGGACCCCTATAAAGTCCATGATTTTTCTTTTAATGTACTTGTTATTATTGTTGTTAAGCGCCATTGAGTTGGTTCCAACTCATAGGGATCCTGTCTAGAGTTCTTAGGAGTGGCTGGTGGGTTTGAACCACTGACCTTGGGGTTAAGTGCTGCTGAGTCAGTTCTGACTCATAGTGACCCTGTATAGGGTTCCTGGAGTCTTGGTGTGGTGCTGTGGGTTAATGAGCTGAACTGCAAAGTCAGTTTGAACTGCAAGGTCAGCAGTTCAAGCTCACCAATGGCTCCTTGGAAACCCCATACAGGGTCGCTATGAGTCGGAACTGACTTGATGGCAATCAACAATAACAACAACATAGGCATTCGGAGAAGCAACTGGTGATTTTGAATCACCAATCTTGTGATTCAAACCTGCCTCCTTTGTGGTCCAGTGCATTATCCCACAATGCTAGACCATGTAAATTATTCATTGCATCTGCAAATTAAGGCATAGCTATGTTTTTGTAAATTTTACACCCAGATTTGCATGCCACACATTTTTTTTGGAGGTAAGGCAATGAAATGAGACAGAGATAAAGGGTATTTCAACATTATATTAAAAATCTCAAGCTATTAAAATCTTCAATAAATCCTTAACAATTTCAAGTTAAAAAACAAAATATAGTGGTACTTAGTGATAAAAATGGCGGTGGTAATAACTAGTAGTTAATTAGTTAGACAAGGTGAAAATTTTGGTGGTATATATAGTACCATTTTAGAAATAATGACAAGTGTTGGTGATAATATTTAGCTATTTTTGGAAGTGTTTTCTTTTTTCCTTACTGGAGGCTTTTTTTTAGGTTTTTATTGTGGATTGAGTAAAAGTTTACAGGGCAGATCATCAATTTCAAATTCAACAAATCATACACTTTGTTTCATTACAATGATTACAATCTCCCTGGAGGCTTTTTTAATTCATTAGGGTACACAGTATTTTTCCTAATTAAGAATTTTTTCCACGTCAAGTAATTGCTTGATCAAGTGAGTCCAGTAGAGGGCTCTAGAGAAACAGCACAAAATATTTCATTTTCGCTATGTCACAGTGCAATCCCATACCGTACACTTCTAGACAGCAGATCAAGGAACTCAAAATACACAGAGAATTGCAAAGTCTTTTGCCCATGTACAATACACAATGTTAAGGAAGAAAAAAAAAAACGTTACCTTGTTGCAAACATTGCTCTCAGGGATGAGAAAGTTGCTGCATCTTCTTTCAAAGCCTTCAATTCATTTCTAAGTTTCGTCATCGTTTCAGTCACCATTGCTTTTTCATTTTCATATTTGTTCTTGAGATTAGCTAGTGCCACCTCAGCTGTCTGAAGCAGAAAAATCATCATGCTTATACAGTTTTTCTATTAGGATTTTAGATCATACAGCTTGCTTCATGGTGGATTTATTATCTTCTTTCAGAAACGGGAAGTGAACTTCATTTGGTTAAATTCTGGTAGCGTAGTGGTTATGAATCAGGCTGCGAACCACAAGGTCAGCAGTTCGAAACTACCAGCCGTTCCGCCGGAGAAAGATGAGGCTTTCTGCTCCCGTAAAGATTTATAGCCTCAGAAACCCTGTGCAGGGTCACTATGAGTCAGAACCGACTCCACGGTACTAAACAACAACAAACAACATATATGAAAGTATATTTTTTGCTACAAATTTACAGAAACCTTTATTCAACAAAAAAATCAAAATGTGAATCTGTTTTTCCTTGACATATCCTCCATCTAGGTCTATACACTTCTGGAGGTGGTATTTCCATCTCTCTAATCTTTCCTGCTGTGACTTTGTGGGTTAATGACCACAAAGTCAGTGGTTCAAGCTCACCAGCTGCTCCTCGGAAACCTATACAGGGTCGCTGTGAGTCGGAATTGACTCGGTGGCACATAACAACAACAATCTTTTCTGGTGTGGTGGTTGTTGTTGTTATGTGCCGTGGAGTCGGTTCCGACTCATAGTGACCCTGTACAGGGTTTCCGAGGCTGCAAATCTTTACTGGAACAGAAAGCCTCATCTTTCTCCCGCAGAAGAGCTGGTGGTTTCGAACTGCTGACAGTGAGATTAGCAGCCCGATTCATAACCACGGATAGGATAAACAGGATAAACACTGCACTGCTAACCACAGTGTGGTTGGTCCTTGGATACCCTCAATGTTGCTATTAGTCAGAACTGACTTGATGACGCTTAAAAATAACAACAACCTTACCTTAAAGAATTCTGGGTGATTTATACCATATCAAAATCATACTTTTGTCATTCTCAAGGGACTCAAATTAAGTTCCTTTTCAATGTTCTTTGAGTTCGAGGAACAAAAAGAAGTCTAACAGGGAATGATCAGGACTGGAGTGTGTGTGGGTTATAGTTTCCCAATGAAATTTTTTAAGACCACCCTTACTAACTTCAAAGAACAAGCATGTGCATTGTTTTGATGGAAAAAGAAAAGAAAAGAAAAAATCCTTGGCACAATTACCCTGGTGTTTTTCTTACCAATACAGTTTTCAGTTTTCCTAAAACTTCATAATCAGCTCCCATGATCGTCCAGTGTCCTTTGAGAAAACGGATCAAGATTGCCCTATGGAATCCCAAAACACAGTTACCATAACTTTCTGAGCTGACCTCTCTGCCTTGAATTTAACTGGCCCATAGAAGATCCACTCAGAAGGCACTGTTTTAATTGGACCACTACTGAGTCCTGGTGAGGCTCTATGGGATAAGCACCGGGCTGCTAGCCGTACCAGTTCAAATCTACCAGCTGCTCCTTGGAAATCCAATATAGGATTGCTATGAGTCAGAACCAACCGGACAGCACTTAACATCAATGAGACTAAGCTAAGTGTCTACTGGGAAAACTTGTCTGCAGCCATCCAGAGATCACAGAGATGTGTTTAAACAAAATTTTTTTGGAATAAACTCAAGCACATATGAACTGGATCCTTAGTAGTAATACTTTTTTACTTACCTTTATATACATACTTTAGACACAGGTGGTTTTTCTTTAAATATCTAAATGCATTATGAATTCTCAGTGTTGTTAGGTTATACTAGAAATCAGCTTTGAGCAGAAGTATTATCAGGCGGTAAGGGATTGGTAGCTGTTGAGTAATTATTTAATGCAGATTTATGAAGGTGTGGGATTTTCAGATATGCAGGAAGCCAAAATAAAAGGGCTGTTAGCTTTATACCAGATATATAACTATATAACAAGATAAGTTAGTGAAGAAGCATAGCTTCTAAATGAAATACTTTAAAATTCAAATATTCTCTTTCTTTATGAAAATAATTCATGTAGCATACAATTAATAATTTTAAAGAGATCAATTCAGGGATATTTAGTATGTTCATACTATTGGGCCAGTGCTTTGTCTATGTAATTCCAAGACATTGTCATCACCCCAAAAGAAAAGCATGCACCCTTTAAGCAGTTACTGCCCACTCCTTCTTCACCTCAGCCCATGGCCACTACCATGAACTCAGATATTCTTGTTCCACTTACGTCCAGTGGGCGAGAAACAAAGACTACAAACACAGACCATTACAACCTCTAAAAGGAATACAGTTTTTGTTGTTGTTCTAAGTGCCATTGAGTCAGTTGTGAGCTATCATAGCGTCCTTTATAGAGTTTCCAAGGAGTGGCTGGTAAGCTTGAACCTCTGACCTTGCGGTTCAAACCAACTTTGCAGTCCAGTGCATTCACCCACAGTGCTACACCAACTAGAGATCCATATTATAATATTTTAAGGGGAAAAAAAACCAACCTACAATGAATCGGGTTTTTTTAGCATTTGCATACAACTTCTTCAAAACAATGAATTAAAGTCAAATTTAATGCTTCACCATCTCCAAAAGAATCGAGATTCCAAAAAATCAAATGAGTTAACTATTTATGTGAATTTGCAATTGTGGCATGTCTAAAATTCTTAGAATTGGTACTGCTTCAAATTAAGAACTAACATGGACTGACATTTTTCATCTTGATAGCCCAACTGTAGAAAGATATTTAAAAACTATCATTTAAATTTCTTATAATTTTTTTCTTTAAATAATTTTTAAAAAGACTGTATCTCTGCATGAGCCCCAACCAATCAATGTGTTGCTTGATAATAATTAAAAAAAAAAAAAAACCCACAAACTTAGCCTGGTATAGAAATTTAAAAAAAAAAGAAAGAAAAGAAAAAGTTGAATTAATTAGTACATGAAATCAGCATATATTTAGTATGTGCTCATTTGGTGCATAGAACATTGCATGCAAAATAAAGCCAAAATTTTACATACCATTTTTACTAACTGTAAACTATATGATATTTATATAAATATATCCAATACTAAAGAAAAACTTCATTATTGAATGAAAAAAATCCATCACAAATGCGATTTCCCAGGAAGACCACCCTGGCCTTTCACATTTCCTCTGTGCTTGAAATGGACAGCTTCAAGGTTCAAAGTACTAATCTCTGTAGATATTGGTTGTTTATTAGTGAAAACAATGTTGTAGGAGTAGAATACTTTATTGTTGTGAATTCAAAGAAGTTTCTTTTTAGTTGAAATAAAATTTAAATTCAGATTAAAATGAGGAGTTACTTATAAAATATGTTCTATAGTAACATCTTAGAAATATTATAGATTCAGGAAACTATCCAAAATACAGGAGCTAACCTGGAGAAAAACAATAGATATTTAGTTTTTAAATGTTTAAACACATATTCATAAATTATAAAAATAAAGTTTTATCTGTGAAAGTAAATATATGCCAAATCTGTACGCAAACAGAGTCACAAGGAGAATGACAGAGGTATAAGATCTGATATAGAAGTAAACATTTAGTCTATTGGTTATTTTTTGTTATTGTTGAGTGCTGTTGAGTCACAGTTATGACTCATATTGACCCTGAGTTGGGTTTCTTAGGAGCAGCTGATAGATTTGAATCACTGACCTTGCACTTAGTGGTCTAGTGCGAAATACCCAAAAGGATCCAGCTTTGTTTGTAGCTTTGCTTGTCCTTAGCTTGCGCTAAGCTTTGTCAAATGTTAAGGAATTTTAAATACCTATTAGTAGGTTTGTTAATGTCATATTCCCCACATAGTCACAAAAATGATTTTGTTAATACAGAGGATCTTCAAAAGTTTGTGGAAAAATGAAATGAAAAGATCATGGAATTTTTCCATGAACTTTTTGAAACCCTCTCATAAAGAATTTTCTTCAACCATACAGATTTTTATACCCATTTCCTGAATATATTGTCCTGTTTGTCACCTCTTTACCTATCTGCCTACTGTTCCTTCTGTCTGAAATGATTTCTTCCTCCTTCTGGAAAACAACTTGCATCCTTTAAGAACCAACTCAATTAAAATTGCTTTTGTAAAGTCTTTTTCAATTTCTGGGGGGTACAAAGAGTTAATGCACACGACTGCTAACCAAAAGATTGGAGAGTCAAGTCCACCTAGAGGTACCTTGGAAGAAAGTTCTGGTAATCTACTTCTGAAAAATCAGCCATTGATAACTCTAAGGAACACAGTTCTACTCTGACACATATGGCATTACCATGAATTGGAATCAACTTAATGCCAATTGGTTTAGGAAACATTAATTAATTTCTCTGTTTACGTTCTTATAACTTAGGTTACAGAGTATGTAACATTGTAATCTAATTATCTGTTTATATTTTTGACACCTCACTAAATTAGAACATTTTCTTTTTTAAATCTTCAGCATCAAGCATAGTTTGGTTTGTAGCTGGTGCTTCATAAACTTTTACTTGTTTTATCAGAAGCTTATTCAAATAATCCTAAAGTATTTTAAGATTTGTAGAGAATGTAAAATGCCAATTTTAAAACAAAGAAATTTCCCTTTTTCCCTTTATATAGAGAATTCTCACCTTAGCCTTAACAATGAACATACTACAATGTCTAAAAATAATGGATGCTATTTGTAGATACTTGAAACTATTCATGGTCTATAAGCATCACAGAGATAGGCCCAACACTATTAAAATGCATACCAGATGCATGACTAGAAATACATTTTCATTTAATTTACTGAGCACATTAGGGATGTGACTCTAATGCAGTGCAAATGGTACCATAAACCACTGAGAAAATAAGAATTCTGCTGGAAATGCTTTGGTGTACACTGCATTCCTACTGGTACTGTTGATACCCCTCTAAAGTGCCTGTTGCAGTCTATCCTCTGAGTAGTTATAGGCATGTGTTGAATTCCTACTAGATTTAACAAAAAGCAAACCAAACCTGTTGGCATTGAGTTGACTCTGAATCATGTTGTCTTGTCTTCCAAAGTAGAAACCAGCTTTCTAGGGTTTTTCAGTGACTGTGACCTTCAGAAGTAGATGGCCAGGCCTTTCTTCTGAGGTACCTCTGGTGAATGCAAAGCACCAACCTTTCAATTAGATGCCAAGTGCTAACCTGATTATGGTACTGAGGGACTCTTCCAATGAGACTGTTGTCATTAGTTGCCACCAAGTCAATGCCAACTCACGGTGACCCCAGGAGTCCCTTATTTTTGCATCTACTTAGCTTTCATAATCAGTGAATGCTTGCTCCTAAAGTATTCTCTCTTGACTGGTTAACCATGCTTATTTATGCCTTTGTGTCAATTAAGCACCTTGACATTTTTATGGGCCTAGGATTAAGACTGAGGTTTGTACATATTCAACTTTCAGAAAGATATCAGAGGCTTTATTTGAATGACTTGTCCAAAGATGCCCCAGGATATTATGGCCTTGATAAAATGTGTGTGACCTCATCTGATATGGTGGTGGTGGTGGTGGCTATGTGCCGTGGAATCGGTTCTGACTCATAGCGACCCTGTACAGGGTTTCTGAGGCTGTAAATCTTTAAGGGATCAGAAAGCCTCATCTTTCTCCCGAGGAGCAAGTGGTAAATTTGAACTACTGACCTTGTGGTTAGCAACCGAGCTCGTAATCTACTATGCTACCAGGTAACAATCAATTTTATCACACAGTTTCACACAGCTCTCTTTTTCGTCAGCGCTAAGTAGCGTAATGGTTATGAATCGGGCTGTGAACTGCAGGATCAGCAGTTCGAAACTACCAGCTGTTCCACGGGAGAAAGTTTTCTGTTCCCGTAAAGATTTACAGCCTCGGAAACCCTGTACAGGGTTGCTATGGGTCGGAACCGACTCAACGGCACTTAACAACAACAACAACAAGTCTCTGGCTTAATCACTTATCAAGTACCTTGTGTCTCTTAGTATGGATGAAGGACATCTTCTATTGGTTAACACTTCTAGAAAGTGAACCCTGAGTTGGAACCCCCAAATCCAAAGTTGAGATCTGCTTACTGATTGACAGACCTCCCTATCTCACCTCTACTAAGACTCCTGTCATTGGAGCAATCCTATACATAGCTCCAGTTGCTGACCAACATTCTTGACTTCTTGCTGTATGTCCTGATGTAAACTGCACACCAGCCTGGCCTGCCACCGCTCCATCTGTTGTTCCATACCCACTGACAGCTAGGTTTCATTTAAGCACAACCCAAACTTCCTCTCTGTACCTACAACTGTATCTTTTCCTCTATTCCAAAATTCCTCACATCTGCCTCCATCTAAGGAACCCTGTGGTACAATGGCTAAGAACCTGGGTGCTAACCAAAAGGTTGATCATTCAAACCCACCCAGAGGCTCCATGGGAGAAAAACCTGGTAATCTTCTTCTATAAACTGTTGCTGTTGTTGCTATGGTTCTGATCCATAGTGACCCTGTATAGGGTTTCCAAGGAGCGGCTGGTGAGTTTGAACTGCCAACACCTTGCGGTTCAAGCTGACCTTGTGGTCAAATGCTTATCCTACAGCACCCTATGGACAATGGGGTCACTATGAGTCAGACTCAAACTAAGAATTGTTGTTGTTGTGTTAAGCGCCGGCAAGTCTGTTCCTACTCATAGCGACCCTACATAAGGTTTACAAGGAGCGGCTGTTGAATCTGAACTGCTGACCTTGCAATTCAAACTGACCTTGCCGTCCAGTGCATTATCCCACAGCGCCACACCAGGTACCCAACAACAAAAAACTCCACCTAGCTGTGCACAACTATTCCATTTTAAGAACTGACTTAAAAATAAGTTCTGACTGGCACTGTGATATGATTTGTTTTACTCCTCCATGGATCAGGAATCTGAACTCTCACTCTGTTGATAGTGGATACATAAAAATCAAGGAATAAATTAGCTAGGAGAGCTTTGACTAGCATTCTTTATCAACTAAGCGACATTACCTGCTTGTTGGCTTTCAACACCGCCCTCAACGTGGCGATCTGCTCTCGTTTGGTGCTCAGCAGTGATTTCAGCTTGAGAATCTCTTCCATTAAGGCTTCTTTGTCTTTATCGATCATGGGGGCCAGCTCCCGTGCTGCTGCTCTTTGACGAGACAGCTGCAAGGACCGGTCCACAGCTTTCTGCAGATGTTTGATTTGGTCCCGGATAATGGCATTAAGGTTGTAGATATTCATTGGCTCTTTGCGGATGTCACTCGTGTCCAGTACTGGAGACGACGGTGGGGCAGTAATAACAGGAGAGATTGTGGGAGTCTTGGTTGGGCTTGGTTCTTTGCTGGACTCTGTGTTTTCTTTTGAAACTGGCTCAGATGAGGTCCTTGTTTCTACTGGGGATGATACACCCCGCCTGGCTAACCGTGGAGACAAAAGTCCCCTGGGATCCTCGGGACCTTTCAGGCTGCCACTGCGGGTGACTCTGCTTTGTCTGTAGTAGTCCAGCATAACCCTGTTGGGAGTTTCATTATTACACAGACAAACGTGGTGGTAAAGCTGAGCTAGCTCCTCACTAAATGTCACTAACTCATCCTGGGCTGTATTAAGGGTATTATGGTTTTCGTTGGCTATACTTGTCATCTTCTGTAACTCCTTCTCCATGTGGACCATCTTCTCACCACTCTCCTTGGTGGTCTTCTCAAGACTTGTCACCTGCTCATCATACATTTGGATCTTACTCTCATACTTGGCCTTTTCATCAGTATAGTTTTCTACAGATTTATTATATTTTTCCTTTAAGGCCTTAATTTCCGCTTTCAAATCAATCACCTCAGTTACTGCCACTCTGTACTTGCACTCAAGAATCTCTAAGCCATTGATGTCCACCTCGTAGTCATGGGCCTCCTCTCCTGAATCCCTGCCCTTCTCCCCGTCTAGCTCCTTGAGCTCTTTGCTGCTCTGCAGGCCCCTCATGGCATTGACATGCTCTGTGAGCCGATGCACCCGTTCATGCTGCTCGGTCAGCGCCCCCTTGGTGTGTTCCAGCTGAGTCTGTGACTCCTGGAGATTGGCCAGAAGAATGGCCTTTTCCCGCTCTACCTGCAATGGCAAAAGAAAGTCAATGGATAACTTCAATGAAATGCCAATGATGAACTTAAACCATTTATTGTTAGAAATGCATGCAGCAGAGCCAGAGTTCCCATTATTTCCAATCTGAGTGTATTTAATGCACTTCAGTAATACAGACTTATTTTAGAGCATCTGGAGAGTCACTCTAAAAATATACAATATTAAAATAGTTAGGCTGCACAGATTGATTACTTATTCAAACTCTTATGCACATACAAACTAAGGAAACTGGAATGTTATTAACACCCTTACTTTTATCTTTTTTAGCACCCTGAGAAAACACAAAATGACTTAAGCACAGTATTTGGCATTGGCCTTAGTGCAAATGTTCCAGTGGAACAAGTGACTGTCTTGGGGTGCTTGTGAATTATCCTTTTCTAACCAGAGCTCAATCCCCAAACAGATTTAAAACTGAACGCTTTAACCTAATGAATAATGCTGAATACCTTAACCTTACATTATGAACAAGAAACATTTACTTCCCAAAGTAGACAAGCACTCACTTTGATCATTTTTAATATAAGTTAGACTTTAGAGTTAAAAGAACGATTTATAAATAATTTCAGTTTCTTCAGTCTGAACTAGAAATTATCAAGCAATTTGAATAACATGACAGTTTTATTATTGTATTGTTGTTGTTATTAAATGCTGTTGAGTTGGTTCCGACTCATAGCTACCCTGTGTAGGGTTTCCAGGGAGCGGCCAGTGAGCTTGAACTACCGACCTTGCAGTCCAGCACATTAAACTACAGACTTTGAAGTCCAGTGCATTAAGCCACAGGGCCACAGCAGCACTCCTTATGATTGCATAGGTGTCAAATATTACTAATGAAAAATACTCATCCTTCTACATAAAATATTGTTTTGTTAAATATAGGCATACAAGGAATTATATAACCTGAGAATTAAAAAAAAAAACAAAACATTTTCTCTCATTCCATATGAGTGGTGATGGTGGCAGTAGTGTACCGTCGAGTCGGTTCCGACTCATAGCAACCCTGTACAGGGTTTCTGAGGCTGTAAGTCTTTACAGAAGCAGAAAGCCTCATCTTTCTCCTGCAGAACCACTGGTAGTTTCGAACTAGCAGACCTTGATGTTAGCAGCCCGATTCATCACTACTACGCTACCAGTGCTCCTTTTCCATATAGGTATTGTTTTTGTTGTTAAGTGCCATTGAGTTGATTCTGACCCACAGCAACTGTGTTTAGGGTTTCCAAGAAGCAGCTGGCGAGCTTGAACCACCAACCCTGCAGTTCAAACAACTTTGCATTCTGACCCATTAGACCACAGTGCCACACCAGGACTCCATATAGGTAGTCACTATTATTTATTAGAAGTTGTAAAATATTTATAATGTAATTGGTTTCATAAACAAATTATACTGTTTACATTTTTTAAAATATTACACGAAAGCTGGACTTCTGGTATAGTGCTGTAGGATAAGCACTGGACTGCTAACCACAAGGTGGGTGGTTCAAACCCAGCAGCTGCTCCTTGGAAATCCTATGCAGGTTCTCTATGAGTCAGAACAATTCAATGCCATTTAACAATAACAACATAAAAGCTATCATGCTGGTCCTATCCTTTTGCACTTGCTTTTTATTTTTTCTGATTTATTTAATTCTTAATGAACCATTATGAAACTTGCTTTAAGGATAATGGATATCTTCATGTAAACCAAATCAAAATCCACTGCTGTTGAGTTGACTTGATTCTCAGTGACGCTATAGGACAGACGGGAACTGTTCCATGGGGTTCCCGAGTTGGTAACTCTTTACAGGTGCAGACAGCATCATCTTTCTCTTGGGGAGTGGCTGGTGGGTTTGAACCACTGACTTTGTGTTATACAGTTCAATTCTTAACCCACCACACCACCAAGGCTCCTTTACATCTAAAGGAAGGTTTGAATTCAAACTATCAAACTCTACTACATTAAATTCTCGAAACTCTTGTAAATTCCTAGGAGGCAAATAAGATTATTATGTTAAATTAATATTTACTCATATATTAGCACATAAAATACAGTTTTGTTATTTAAAATGATTGCCTAGAGACTTTTAAATTGTAGCTTTGATTTTATAACATAATGCCTGACTATATATGACAGGAATACAAATATCCAAGAAAAATTAGTACTGATCTTTGGATAATTTCACTTGCAATATATTTTTGCGCAATGCACAGTTTTTTGCCAGTATACTTTCCTTCTTAATTATCTTAAATCCTCCCTTCGCTGTTGTTATAATGTTTGAGACACAGATATTTTAGAAAGTTCTGGGTTGTTGTTGTTAAGTGCTGTGGAGTCAGTTCCAACCCATAGCGACCCTGTATAGGGTTTCCAAGGAGCAGCTGGTGAGCTTGAACCGCCGACCTTGCAGAATAATCTGTATTAATATATTTACCTCAGCCTAAGTAACAACAGTACTTAAGAGATTTCACACTAAATATGTTAATATAAACTACACAAAGCATTTCCAAAAGAAACACTCAAGTAACTCAGCACATCTGAAGCCCTAATCACATCTGAAGAGTTTCCATAAAACTTGAACTGGAAAGTACTTTGCTCTTCTTTTCTTTTTTCCTTCCTAACCCTTTCTGCCATCTGAACTTTGCCCTTTTGATCTTGAATGCTGCTTTTTTGAA